GGTTGTGGCCAAAATGAGGCTGCCTTTGTCATCTATGTGTGTCCAAGTCCCAGGTCCAGGTCCCAGAATCCCAAGTCTCTTGGGTGACAGGCTCTCTGGCTCTTGGTCAGACATTCGGGGGTCCGGGCTGTTTGTCACCTGCTTTTTGGGGTGTCCCACAAAAGCCTGCCCTCCAGACTGAGCCATTAACAAGCAAGTTCACCTTGACTTCAAAACGGAGGCAGGTGGGGACTCCAGGTGCCCTGCGTACAGGACTGTCTTCAGAGATGGGTCCTGTTCCGCGGGACAGCTGCATCGCACAGCAGCACGGGCAGCAATTACTATTCCATTTTACAGATGAGGACACTGAGTCTCAGTAGGGTTTCATACATTGCTCAAGGTCTTCCATCCCTCTGCTCCTTCAAAAATGACACACTGAACACCTGCTACCTGCCAGGCTGTGGGCCAGAGCCTGGTGGACAGTGATGAGCAAAATGGAAATGGTTCCTTTCCTGGTGGTGGTGGTGGTGGTGGGGAGATGGCGGCACTGTCTCAGAAGGGAAATAGGCAGAGACCAAACACCACCAAGTGAATGGAATGACATTGCTGATGAAGGCCCAGACGGCGAAGGTGGGGATGCCAGAGAGAATCCTGGTGGGTGGGTGACTTAGTCCATTCAGGCGGCTAGAGCGAACCTGTCAACTGGGTGGCTAATGAACAACAGACATTATTCCTCACAGTCTGGAGGCTGGACAACCAACGTGAAGGCACAGGCAGATTTGGTGCCTGGTGAGCACCCACTTCCTGGTTCACAGACAGCTGCCTTCCTGCTGTGTCCTAACACGGGGGTGAGGGAGCTCTCTGGGCCTCTTTGAAAAGGGCACTAATCCCATTCATGAGCGCTCAACCCTTGTGACCGAGTCACCTCCCAAAGGCTCCTCCTCCCAACAACTTCACATCGGGAGTTAGACTCTTAACATGAATTCTGGGGGGGTGGGGGCACAGACATTTAGTTCACTGCAGTGGGGTACTTAGATTATATTTGGAGGTGGCAGGAAAAGCTTCTTGAAGAGGGGATATTTAACCTGAGACCTGGGAGTCAGGCATACAGAGAGAGGGGGAAGAGCATTCCAGGCAGAGGGAACAGCATGTGAGGAGACCCTGGTGAGAAAGAGCCTGGTCCATTGGAGGAACGGAGAGAAAGAGTGGGGGGTGGTGAGGAGGAATTTGGGTGCTGCACATGCCTCACCTACTGCAGAAACGGGTTGAGATGGAGAAGGGTGGGTGTGTAGGGTGAGTGGAAGGTGTCTGGGTCCTTGGCGTTGTCCTCTGGTTTGACTTTCTTCCTCCCCATTCTTCCTTCAGGAGTATGTGCTGAATCCCTGAAGTCCAGCTGTATGGGCGCAGCCACCGCGCAATAATGTGAAGGTCATTGCCGAGGAGCCCTGGCCTACAATGTGCTTCCCTTTTTGTTTAGGTGACGCGGTGGCCTGTGGGACACCAAGGGCTGCTGTACGACCGGAGCTGGATGGTTGTGAACCACAACGGCATTTGCCTGAGTCAGAAGCAGGAGCCGCGGCTGTGCCTGGTCCAGCCCCGCATTGACCTGCAGCAGAGGATCATGGTCGTTAGAGCCAAAGGTGGGAAAATGGGTTCCTTTTCACCATGCAGCTGTCAGAGTGGCCTATCAACTCCCGTGAAAGGAAGATAAGGCTTTTCCTCCAGCAAATATTGAAATGATCCAAAAATGAAATGATGCCTGGAAGAGACAGCAGAAAGCTTGTTCCTCTCGTGTTGTGGGAATTTTCTGGGGAAAGGTAAAGACCTGAGGGTCCAATGAGAAACTAGAGGCATAACTTCTGGAATCACGTGATGTGCTTTTCACTTACATTCCTTTCATATCCTTCAGTCATAATACAGGGTGGGTAAAAGTAGGCTTATAATTGTTTGGAAAAAGACAGGCAAGATATGATTATTACAACAGCTTTATTAACACAAAAGAACGTCACAGTGGCACTGTGCACTTAGGTACAATCTCATAAATGCTCAATTGCCGGCCTTCATTCTTCACACATCCTTGTAGTCTTTGGAAATCAGTAAAGAAACCCGAATTTCAGTGACCTGCGTGGGTCAGCCCCACTGCCTCCTGAGGTGGTTGAAGTCAAACCTACTTTTGTCTCTTCCCCTCCTCCACCCCACCCCCGTATGCACGGCATGCGTTCATTCTCTCTGCTGGCTTTTATTATAGACTAGTAGCATACGTAACGTTACAGACCAGCTCTGTCCAGTGGAACTTTTTGTGATGGTGGAATATTCATTCTCTATATTGTCCATTTGGTAGCCACCAGTTACATGTGGCTACTGAACACTTGAAATGGGGCCAGCCAGACAAGAGAACTGAATTCTAAATTTTATTTAATTTTGATTAATTTAAATTGCTGCATGTGGCTAGTGGTTACAGTGTTGAACAGCACATGTATTTTGCAATTATATATTTGTAATTATATTTTGATTGTAATGCCATATATTCAGTTCAGGAGAATTTATGTAATATAATATTGTCTTTTATATATAAACTAGAGGCCTGGTGCATGAAATTCATGCACAGGATGGGGGGGGGGTGGGCATCCCTCAGCCTGGCCTGCACCCTCTTGCAATCCTGGACCCCTCAGGCGATGTCCGACTGACAGTTTAGGCCTAATCCTGCAGAGAATGAATATTCTAACATCACAGAAAGTTGCACTGGATAGAGCTGGTCTGTAACTTTATGTATGCTACTAGTCTATAATAAAAGCCAGCAGAGAGAATGAAAACATGCAGTGCATAGGGGGGTGGGGTGGAGGAGGGTAGAGACAAAAGTAAGTTTGACTTCAACCACCTGCGGGATCGGGCCTAAACCGTCAGTCGGACATCCCTCTCACAAGCCAGGACCACTGGCTCTTAATCGCTTGCCTGCCTGCCTGATTGCCCCTAACCACTCTGTCTGCCTGCCTGATTGCCCCTAACCACTTGCCTACCTGCCTGATTGCCCCTAACCCCTCTGCCTGCCTGCCTGATCACCCCTAACTGCTCACCTGCCTGCCTGATTGCACCTAACCACCTCCTTGGCCCCCACTGCCGCGGCTTCACCCAGAAGGTCATCCAAAAGGATGTCTGGAAGGTTGTTCGGCTGTCCAGTCTAATTAGCATATTACGCGTTCATTATTATAGATAGTATTTCTCTTCATTTAAGACTTCTTTACTTACTCCAAAAATTTAATAATATTTTCCAGAAAATTTCTGCACATTTTTGGATATATAACAGTTTGAGTATTTGGAATATTATTTTTTCTATTAAATCAGTTATGAATGCCATATAAGAAAACTATTGATTTTTGTATATCAATGTTTTACCCAGATTTTTTTCTGAATTCCTGTTAGTTTTCTTAGTTGATCTGAAGATTTTGTCACATGTTCTATGTAAATTGGCATATTGTCTTCTAAAATGATAGTTTCATGCCTTCCTAATTATTATCCCTCTTTTTTAAAAAAATATATTTTTATTGATTTCAGAGAGGGAGGGAGGGAGAGAGAGAGAGAAATATCAATGATAAGAGAGAATTATTGATTGGTTGGGTCCTGCACTCCCCACACTGGGGATAGAGCCCACAACCTGGGCATGTGCCCTGACCGGGAATTGAACCATGACCTCCTGGTTCATAGATCAATGCTCAACCATTGAGCCCTTGCCGGTAGGCTCCTTTTTCTTTTTTTAAAAAAATCTTACTTCTTGACTAGGCCTTCTTGTATAATGTTGTAACAGTGATGGAAGATATCCTTCTTTATTACTGATTTGAATAGAATAGTTCTAAGGTCTCAAAAATAAAAATGATGCTCACTGATTTGATTTACTGGGTTAAGTAGTTCTTTTCTTATTTAGCCAAAAGTTATGAATAATAGTCATTTCTTATTGAATGCTTTTCTGCATCTGTTGGTTATATTTTTCTCCTATATTCTAGGAGTGCGATGTCTTATATTAGCAGACTGTCCAATACTGAAGTATTCTTGCATTCTTGGGGGAGAAAAAACACTACTTGGCAATGATTTGTTGATACATTTGGATTGCTGATTTTTTTAAAGTATTTTTATACCTATTTTTATTAATGAGATTGATATATTACCTTCTTTTATTATATTTTTCTTGTTCAAGTTCAGGTACCCAGAATAATAATACACAGAAAGATCTGAGTGGAATATTTTACTTTCTACTCTCTGAGTAGTGTATACATCAGTGTTAATTAATATTATTCTTTAACTTGTTACATACAGGTGTTATATACTCCTTTATATGTATGATGTATCTATAACAATTAAAAAATAGCTTCTCAACCCCATTGACATAACAGACTCTTTGAAATAATGATGATTGGTGCAGGAATCTAATTTGATGCTGACTCCTAGGGGCTACCGAGAGTTGATACTCTATGCTGATATCTTTGTAGAATGAGCCTTCACGCCTGCCTGTCTATTTCTAAAGAACTTAGGTAGCTTAGGGAACAATGCCCTTGGGATGTGGAGTCATCCAGAGGCAGAGAAAACGTTCAAAGGAATTTCCAGTGTTCCTGGGACTCTGGATGTGGCTGCCCACTGCAGGATCCCCTGCTAAATATGCTCAATGCACAGCTGTTGGGCACTGATCATGCTGAAGAGATTCTGTTAGAAGATTTCCAAGACCCAGACACTTGTTTGATTCAACCAGTTTCCAGGGTCATTAAGATTCTTGTAAATTTCATAATATTGGACTTCAACTAACATAGTTGTGCTTTTTGCTTGGTAATACATTTGTCTCTAACCTTTGCTCATCAGGAATGGAGCCTATAGAGGTGCCACTTGAGGAAAACGGTGAATGGGTTCAGATTTGCCAAAGCAAGGTCTGTGCGGACAGGTGAGACTGCAGCAGGGAAATCTCAGGTCCACCTGCAGGTGGCAGGAGGGGACGAGTCCTCTGCTGAGTCCTCCATCCCACCCCCTGCCGCTGCTGCTCCCCATGGTGCACTCCACTCACCACCCTGGCTCCCTCTCAGGGCTTTGCACTCCTGTTTCCTCTGCTTGGAATGCTCTTCCCCTGTTTATATCTCCAGGGGGCTCGCTCCCTCACCTCCATCAGTCTCACTGCCACCTGGTCTCTGTGGAAAAGCCCCTTTCTCAGAGGGGCACCGGCCTCCCACAGAACCAGCCTCCCTCACTGCTGCCCAGCTGCATTCTCCTCCTTAGCACTGACTGTTACCCAACCTTTATCTCTAGTCCCTCCTGCTAAAGTGCCCACTGGGGAGAGCGGGGCTCAGTCTGTGCTGCTTCCTGCAGAGCCTGGAACAGGCTGTGGGGGAGGCATGGTGAGTGAGGAACCGAGGAACCGTTCAGGGGAGGCATGGAGGGGCTTGGTGGGTGGCTGCTGTAGAGTGGTGAGGGTAGGGACCTGGTTCCTATTTGGAAAAGACTGGCTTATGGGTGTAGAATAGTTGGAAGCTGGTGAGGGTGCGAGTGAGAAGTCCAGCTGAGACAAGAGGAAGGGTCAGGGGGAAACCAGGCGGGTGTCGGATATATATCCTGGAGGTAGACCCACCTGAACCAGTGGATGGATTGGATGTGGAGCCTGTGGGTAAGGGGATGTCACATCCCTCAGGTTGTAGAGTTTTCAGGTGATAACCCATAAATTATATTTCATATAGTTGTGGATTATTGCCTAGTCTGAGTTACTGATGATAAATCATTGGCTAAATTCTAGGAAATGTGGATAATGAGATGGAATGCAATAATAGCATTTCTATTTTATTTTTGATTGTGAATGTATATAAATCTATTTATTGAATATATTGACTATCTAAGTCTAATCTGGGCCCCAAAACATGTGCAGGAGCAAATTTTCTGATTGTGGAAACTTACCCAGCCCATCTGATACCCCAGCCAATTTACTCCCCAGGACTAAAACAGTTAACGGTAACAGTGCACTTGGATTTATATGTAGAGCGCTTTTAAACTGCTAATTGCCTATTCGTAGACACCATCAGCTCATTAGTGGGTGTTTGTGCTCAGGCGATGGTGATACTGCACAGTATGGCATTGACTGCATTTACTTCTGCACTGCCTCACCGTGTAAATCATGGAATGATATATGAAACAATGAAGCTGTATCTAAATTGGGTTCACATTTTTAGGGCCCCTGAGTCTCACTGGGTGATGAAGGGCTGCACCTCAGGAAAGGTATGCAGGTGTAGTGTGGGGATTCTGCTGGGCATGACTCAGCGGGAGGGGCACGGGGCCATCCTGGAGCCGAGAACGAGCACAGTGGGCATCCTTCCACTGCGCTTGTGCCAGGAAATGTTCACGGTAACACACACGTGAGGGCTCTGAGTCTCGGGTGAGCGTTTTTGCCCGTCACCACTGTAAGTCTCAGAGAGAGAGATAGAGCCATTGAGGAGCACCTGCAGTTGCTTCCCCAGCTCATCCCTGGTTGAACTGTCATTTAGCTGCATCCGAGAGGGAGGCCATTTTTCTGGGGAATAAAGCTTTCAGGTAGATAGAGGCTAAGCTAGGAACTGTGAGGACTTAATAGAATGAAAATGGAATTAGTGCGAATGTGCTACAAAGCGAGGTTTCCTTCTCTTCCCTTTCTAGAAAAGAAAGGCAACTATTTTTCTGAGTGAAAATTAAGGATAAGATAGGTTTTCAATAATAACGATCTTATAATCCCAGGGTAAGATATTAGCAATTTTTCCTTATTAATTCTGGTGATGTATAGATTACATTTTTTTTTTAAAATTTGGAATTCTATTTAAAAATTCTAAAAGATTGCGGATTTTTTTAAAGAAAATCAATAAATGTACTTATATTGGTGATTTATAGACACAGTGATGTTCTTTCACAAACCAAACATGTCAGTCCATGAGGTCTGGCTGCGAGAGGAAAGACTAGAGTCAGGACCATAGCAAAAGGCCCATCTCTGGGTGCGAGGGCTTCTTAGCGCAAGATAATGCTCTGGAAAGTCCCAGATTCCAAGGTTGTTTTCTCAGTGGCTATAATGTAAAGAAGGTGTTTCAAGAGGAACGTCTAAACCCTTTCATCTGATCTTAAAGCTTTGCACAAACCTGGGTCTCAGGTCTTGCTGTGCCTTGGGAATCTCCCTGCAGCTTCCAAGGCACGCCTGCCACTCTAGGCTTCCTTTTGGCCGGGGCTCAATGACTATTACAAAATGTTATATTACTCGTTGCCATTTAGACTGTTATGAAATAATACGATACAACATTCACCATTCTTTTTTTTTGGTCAGGGTAAATACTCGTGATTGTGGAGAAAAAATTTCAAACTGGTTGTCAAGGTTTCTGGGCCGTCCATGTCATTTGATCAAACAAAGCTCGGACTTTCAGAGAAGCGCGAAGAAGAGCCATGGCAAAGGTATATGGCATTTGGGGTTGTCCTCAGGGCACAGGAACTTGGGCTTGCCTTTGCATGCGTCCAGGTCAGCCCGTGACGCGGAGTCACAGGGCAGCTTGCTCACGTACAGAAAGTGGGGCGGCCCGCCTTCGGCAGAAAGGTCCCCGAGCCCCAGGTCAGCAGGACCCAGGTGTGGCCTCCCGAGAACCCTGAGAGGCCGGGGTGGGCTCCCAGGCCACCGCTTCGCCTCTGCTCACCCTCTGCCTCAGCCACGCGTATTGCGTATTGAGAAGCACACTCCTGTTTTGTTAGATGAAAACATTGGTAGCTTGCGAGGCCCTAAGGAGACCCGGGTTTCTAGTCTTGGCTCCGTCTCCAAGTGGCGGGAGGCCTTGGCAAATCCTTGGTGCCTCAACTTCTGTTGACCTCAGCTACTTAGCCTTGAACACGTTGGACAGTTTTCCTGCCGAAAGCTGCTCTTAGGGGGAAGTGAGACAGCAGAGAGCAAAGTACTTTCCACGTTAACAGTACCAGAGAGGAGGAACGGACCATTTTCAGGCGTCTGTTTAATTCTGTCTTCTCAGGGAGCCTTGCCCGACTTCCCTCCATAGCCCTCGCCTGAACTTCCCCAGCTCCCTTCGCTGTTTTATTTTTCTCGGTGGCACTGTTCACCTCCTCTAGGCCATGCATTTGACTGCTATGCTGTGCATGTCCGGCCTTCCCTCTACTGGACCATAAGCACTGTGACTTTTGTCTGCTTTGTTCAGTGTTGCATCCCCCATGCTTAGAACAGCACCTGGCAAATAGTAGTTGCTCAGTAAATACTAGACGAAGGAAGACATGGGTCATTGCTGCATTTCTGGTTTGTGCAGGGCTGACCTGTCCTAGTGATTAGCTTTCACAGAGACTGGCTTGTAAGCCCAAATAGCATTTGATCATATGGGGACCAGGACTGGGGTCTTGGGACCTGCACAGGTGAATCTATAAATCCCTGAAAATGAATGATGGAGAGAAGAACCAAAGGATGTAATCTACTTAGACCTTTACAAGTTCTGACAGCTTTTCATGTCATGAGCTTTTCAAGAATTTGAATTGCTCTGTGATGGAGAAGGGGAATAGACTTACGTTCATTTTTCGAGGAGGTGAGCTGGTGGTGCCTGGGCCTGGATTAGCTCAGAGTCATGATTAAATGGGCATTTTCATGAGTAGAGACACACAGGAGTGAGATTCGTCAGGACCTGTGCTCCCCTTATACATGATCTTATTTAATACGTTCCAGTTATTCATAATGCGTCCTGTTTACCTGGGGCCTAGCCGGGTCCCCAGGAGGCTGGCTGAGATTATTAAGCAATGGTCGTGGGCCTTCAGTTTAGAGGCACCGACTCACCAGCAGGCGGCGACACTACAGTAAAGGTCTGTGACTCACCTGCAGTGAGTCATGGAGGGCTTCAGGGAAGAGGTGAGTTTGGAGCTGCATCTTAGCAGGAGAGTAGGCGTTTTCCAGGCAGAGAGAGGCAGGAAGGTTACCTGGGAGCAACATGGCAGGGTGTGGCATTTCGTGGGCTCAGAGAAGGGTTCAGGAAGGTTGGATGTGGCTCAGGGATAAATGGGGCAGAGCTGGGCTGAAGGGATGAATGTGCATCCCTTCCTAGTCAGGAAGCACTAGCTTGTGGTTGGGGCAACTCACTGAAGAATTCTATGTTCTGGGGTTTCGTGATGTTGTGTGTATTAGAAGGACACTCGTGGCAAGGTATGGGGAGCAGCATCCGAGAGGGAGAGGAGGGAAGGGGATAGGCAGGAAATGGTTATGACTGTTCCAGTGGAACATGGGGCCTGGCTGAGGCAAAGGTGGGCACAGGGAGAACTGTCTCCTGCACTGGACAGGACCAGGGAGTGCCAGCTTGTGACTATTTCCACTTCAAGGATGCCACTTATGGAGGCGAGATCTCTGATGGTCCAGGCCTCAGGTCTTCAAACATATTTGCATTGGTACACCTTAGAAGAATTGTTTTAAAGCTACTTTACCTCCTCCTACATTTTTACATTGTCATCTAAATGTTAAAAACAAGTTAAAAGAAGAACCCAAGCTGGCTGCAGAATAGATGGAAGGTACACTCACCTCCTCCCAGGACCAAACTGGAATTACAACTAAATTATAAAATAATCACCCTAGATAACCAACTGAAGACTAGCTGAACAGAAGTCTTATAACCAAGGATTTACAGAAGCAGCCACAAGGAGACTGGTAGGAAGGGCGGAGACATAAGGGCTGGCCCGGTGAGCACCAGGGCTGGTGGCCAAGATTCCAGAGGGATGTCTCAGCTGCAGAGGTTCCCCTGAGAAGCCTGAGGTCTCAACCACATGTCGGGCTCCTTAGCCCAGAGCCCCAGCACCAGGAAGAGGCACCATGTAACATCTGGCTGTGAACAGCAGCTGGGATTCTGTCCTCTAAGGAAAGACAGAAGTCTGCTAGAGACACAGGTGCCCTCTTAAAGAGCCAGCACTCAAAATCTTGGTCGCAGCCACTCACCCTGGGCTCTGGTGAGGGAGTATGGAGCAGACTACAGTCCCGTGAGGAGAGACTGGTGTTTGTGGCTCTGGGGAGAGAGCTGAAGGGACAGCCGCCAGGATTCCTGTGCTGAGTCCCGCTCCCACACCACAGATGTCATCTTTCTTGGGCAGAGCACTCCCCACCTTGGAGTCAGCCTGGGGGAAAGCAGCAGCCCACCTTCTGGACTTCCTGTTCCCCCACCCTGCTGGACTCTCACAGGGCCGAGGAGTCAGCTGCCTGGGCCAGGGTATAGAGGTCTAGGCGATTTCCAGCAAATTATAAATGTGGTCATTTAAATGAAAACTCATAGATTATCCTTTTAAACATTAGCGAGTGGAATCTCAATACCATAGTGATTTGATTCCATGAATATTCACTACACACACACACACACACACACACACACACACAAACTGTCTTTTAATGGTCAGAAATTTTATATCTTTCCTTTTTCTTCTTCAACTCATATTTCCATTCTACTTTAATGGGGTTTTATCTCAGTGTTACATATTTTATGTTTGAAAATCTTTCCTTGATCACCCTATCATATTTATCTAAAACCAAGATCCTATATAAATTGAAATGTATAAACATTTGTAGAGTTTACTGTGATCATAAGAGTCCAAGTGTTAGGAAATTTCTTATAGGTTGACTTATCACAATTTTTAATAGTATACAGTTGATCAAAGCAGCAACTACATATTATAAATTTCAAAAGAGTGAAAACACTGTTGAAAACAAATCTCTTAATGAGATGGCTGAGCTCCCCGCCATTAATTCCCATATTAATGAGTAACTGCCACCTATGGCCAACATAGCTGGTGCTCAGCCTTGGTTCTCTTCTGCAAAGCCCTATCTGAGTGAATAAAGAGCTGGGGGTGAAAGGCAGTTGGTTGACCCGCTGTCACTGAAACCTTTTCCGGAGACACAGGGATCTCACATTAAGATGACTTTAGTCATGTCACTTGACAACTTAATCAGGTGTGACAGCTTTGTGGAGAGCAAAGAATGGGAGCCAATCTGACCTACAGACATCATTCACCCAGGCTTTAGAGAAGTTCCTTATCTCAGCACAGGCCCCAGGGATTTGAAAGGGCTTTTGTTTTCCGCCTTGGAGACTGTCAGCCCCCAGGGGAGGGTGCCCAGGAGAGGTGAGCCTTCCCTCTGTGAAGGGGGAGAAAGGCCTTTTGTGGAGGGGCTGGCGTGCGCCCCCTTCTCTGACAGCCTTTGTAGCAAAGAGGGCATTTGGGAGTGGAGGTTCTGGAAGGTGATTCTGTAGAAGGATCCTTTCTCGTGTATTCCGGGGTCCTCAGACCCTGTTTGCAGGGACCTCACTAGGCTTTGGCCCAGCCAACCCTTTCCATCCACATCTTGATTAAAGACAGCGATGGCGTGCCCGACATGGGAGGTGGGAGCTGGGCCATAGGCTCCAGCAGTGCTGGGCACATTTCATACTTTCTTTCACTCTTTTATTTTCCCTTTCAGTAGTTTTAAACTTGTATTATTTATTTCTGAAGTCAATTATTTCACACTTTCCCAAGGGCAAAAACCAGCTTTCCCCTAATTCAGGAGAGCTTCTTGGGCCTGTGGACTCACTGAGGCCCTGCTGTCCCGGGCCAGCCCTGCTCCACCTGCTGCCCATCCCTCCTCCTCTGAACGTCGCCTCCAAGTCTGTGCTGGCAGTTTCACTGCAGCATTTTATTATTGTTACTTTTCAGATAAGTAGTGGAGGATTCTACGAGCTCATTTTTTTTCTTTGAGAGGTTAGAGACAATTTAAGACAGTTTGTCCTATTTCAAGGGAACCACTTTTTCACTTGTAGAGATAGTCTCTATTTTTAAAACATGATGGTCAATGGAGCATGATTCATTTGCAGTCTAAGAAAGCAGCTCTTATTTTATTTTAAAACATTTAAAATTTAATTTCATTAAAACATTTTTATTGAGGTATAATTGACATATAACATATTAGTTTCAGGTGTACAACATAATGGATTCAATATCTCCATATATTGTGAAGTTATCACCACAATAAGCCTAGTTAACATCCATCACCACAACCAGTTACAAAATGTTTTTTCTTGTAATGAGAATTTTAAAGATTTACTCTTCTAGCAACTTCAAATATGCAATACTATTATTGACACTCTAGTCACCATGCTATACATTACATCCCAGCATTTATTTTATAACTGAACGTTTGTCTCTTTTGACCCCCCTCACCCGCTCACACATTTTGCTTACCTCCACCCTTTGCCTCGGGCAACCACCTATTTGTTTTCTTGTATCTGGGAGATGGTTTTAGCTTTTGTTCTTTAGATTCCACATATAAGTGAGATCATATGGCATTTGTCTTTCTCAGTCTGACTTATTTCACTTAACATGATGCCCTCTAGGTCCAACCAAGCATCACAAATGGCAAGATTTCCTTCTTTTTATGGCTGAATCATATTCCACTGTATATACATGTACCACATCTTCTTTTCCCAT